CCCCCCCCCCCCCCCCCCCCCCCCGCCCGCTGTCCCGGCCGCCGCGTCCCGCCGGGCCGCGCTCGCCCCTGCAGCGCCCGGGCGGATGCGGCGGGCCCACGGAGGGGCATGCTTCCACGCACCAAGTACAACCGCTTCAGGAACGACTCGGTGACATCGGTCGACGACCTTCTGCACAGCCTGTCGGTGAGCGGCGGCGGCAAGGGCTCGGCGGCGCGCGCGGCCCCGGCGGCGCCCCCCTACCTGGTGTCCGGAGACGCGCTGCGCAGGGCGCCCGACGATGGGCCGGGCAGCCTGGGCCACCTGCTCCACAAGGTGTCCCACCTGAAACTCTCCAGCTCGGGCCTCCGCGGGCGCGCGGCGGCCGGGGCGCGGGCGGGCGCGCGGCTCTCGGGCAGCTGCAGCGCGCCCAGCCTGGCCGCCCCGGACGGCAGCGCGCGCCCCGGCCCCGGCGCCCCGGCCATGCGCGCCGCCAGGAAGGGCCGGCCCGGCGACCAGCCGCCGCCGCGCGCCCCGCACGCCAGCGACCAGGTGCTGGGGGCCGGAGTCACCTACGTCGTCAAGGTGGGTGCGGGCGCGGGCCGCGGGGTGGGTGGCTTGCTCTCTCCTCGGGGCTGCGCCTCTGCCCACTCGCGGCGCCCCGCGGGCACGGCCCCTGTCCCCGGGACGTGGGCATCGGGCCCGTGCAGTGAGCGCGCCGGGGAGAGCCCCCTCCCTGCGCCGGGAGGCGCGGGCGGCGGCACTACTTCTGCCGCGTCCGCCCCGAGGCCGGCTGCGCGCTGTGGCTCCCGCGGCTCCCGGCTGCGCAGGCCAGGCGCCGGCTTGCTTTACGTAAGCCGCCTGGACTTTCTTCCCCAGCGAGGTCCTCCTGCTGCCGCCTCGCCTTCCACACCCGAGGGCTCTGGGTCACAGCAGCAGAGGAGAATGTGGGACCGCTTTTCCCTGGGGCTGTCGTCTTCCTTCTAAATAGGCCAAAGGGGGCTGAGCGTGGGCCCTGGAGCTGCCGGCTCCAGATTTTTCCTTCAGCACAAAGAATTACCCAGTCGTGCCCAATGTGGTCCATAAAATTCCTCCTTTATACAAATATTTTATGATGTTTAGAACAGACAGCCTGCACCTGTCGGTTGGCTCCGGTCCTCCAGCCTGTTGGACGGTGGTGGTGAGCGTCACCGGGCTCTGCAGCTGGGCCGCCACCGCCGGCTGGGGGAAGGGCTGAGCAGGCAGGCCACTCCGACACATGGCTGCTTGTTTGAAAAGAAAAGAGCCACACACTGTCTCCCCGGTGTTGTCAAGCACACCGAGTGCCCCACTGGGTGTCTGGCTTGCACATACTTGGCTGCAGATTCAGTTTCACAATCCAGCAGACACAGCTTCAGGTAAAGTGTTGTATCTAGGCAGTCTGGCAACCAAAATAGTAAAGGAAGCAGTTAACTGTGGACTGTGGTTAACTGTCTAAAAAGTACTGACAAAGGAATGTTATCTCCGGTGTTAAAAATGGAGCCCTCTCGTCCCCTTGAGGCTGTTTTTAAATCGAAATCTTACCATCTGAAAATGAATTAATGGTTTACAGGAGAGGCGCCGATCAGCATAACTTATGCACGTCTGCTTGCGTTTATGATAAAGGACAATGATTCTTCCTGTAGTCTGTCTTTAAATTATATAACCAGGAGCCAAAGCAAAAAGAAACAAAACAAAACAAAACAAAAAACCCTGACCACGTTGAGGTGAAATAGCGGCTCTGGAGAATATTACTTTTAGTGTGCTCATATAATTGCTATCTAAAAAACAAACAAACACCAAAAAAAGCCTATGTTTAAGACAGACAGACCTTGGGAGAGCTTTCTGTACCTATCGTGTGGAACACAGAAGGCAGTTCTGAAATGGAGGGAGAATTCTCAAACTTAGGTCTTTAAAGTTCTCCTTTAAAAAAAGATCATTCCCTTCGCTTAGGGCTTTGCTCTTGCTTTGTGGAGAATGACGGTGGATGTCCAGGTCGAAGGGTCAGTCGTGGCTGGACTCAGATGAGCACAGCCCAGGAGGGCAGCCCCGCGGGGCCGTCCTGCGGACCTAAGGCCGCGGCATTTCCAGCAGCAGCTGAGCTTAGAGGGGCGGAAGGCTGGGCTGCCCCAGCCTCTGGGTCTGGGGGGGAGTCACTTTCCTGTGCCTCCAGTAAATGGCGGCAGTGCCCTGGGGGCACCCAGCGCTGGGTGCCGTAGCCTGCTTCGCCCCTGGCTGAGAACAGTGGTCGTGTGAACATCAGCTCAGGCTTCCCCGGGGAAGTGTGGAACCGCACAGCAAGGAGGTCAGACGCTAAGGACGGTTTCTCGCACACGCGTTTGACTCACGTTATCACGTGGCCCTCTGTTGGTGTGCACTTCCTCGTGGCCCGTGCTGCTTTGTTGAACCTCATGGACTTATTTTCTTGAAAAATCACAAGACTGAAAAGAAAATCTTAACGTGATATCGTTTGCTGATTTGTGAATAGTTTTTATCAGTTTCTTGGCTTCACAAGAAGTCTCTCAGGTAGAGAGAAAGAGAGTCTCTTATATGACTATGCGTTGCTTGTAAATCTAAAAGCTGCGGGTTTGGGAAAGAACTAATTATTCTGTTTGATTTAAATTTACTTCTTTATTTTTTTTAATGTTTATTTAAAAAAAATTTTTTTTAATGTTTTATTTATTTCTAGGAGAGAGAGAGACAGCGTGAGCAGGGGAGGGTCAGAGAGAGAGGGAGTCACAGACCGAAAGAGGCTCCAGGCTCTGAGCTGGCAGTCAGCACAGAGCCCGACGCGGGGCTCGAACCCACGAACCGCGAGATCATGACCTAAGCGAAAGTCGGACGCTTAACCGACTAAGCCACCCAGGCGCCCCTATTTTTTTAATGTTTATTTATTTTTGAGCGAGAGAGAGACAGAGGGCAAGTAGGGGAGGGTCAGAGAGAGAGGGAGACACAGAACCCGAAGCAGGCTCCAGGCTCTGAGCTGTCAGCAAGAGTTTGACGCAGGGCTCGAACCCATGGATCTTGAGATCATGAGCGGAACCAAAGTCAGATGCCCAAGCAATTGAGCCACCCAAGAACCCCGATTTAAATTTACTTCTAAATTAAGGAACCCCCTCCCCGGTTTTTCTAAGTTCTGGAAAATTCGTTTGCTGTAATGGTTATATTATAGGATATAATATAGGACATTACAGGATAATATAGTTCTCCTATAATGATTGGTTTTGCCCCCTTTTAGAGACACCCGCCATGACACCTGAGAATATTATATACAAGGTTTGTTATTTAAAAATCTTTCAACTCCATCTGGTTACCTGGGAGGAGGGCCTGGAGGGGCAGGAGCCCGCTGTGTTTGGCTCACCTAGGAAACAGCAAAGTGTGTGACCAGCAGGCTGTGATGTTAATTAATGAAGGATATGGGATTTGAAGACGGAGAAGGCTCCTGAGTAACAGGAGCGTTCGGGGCTCAGCCTGTTGAGTCAGCCCTGCACACGCGGCCACACAGCAGGGAGGCTCGCTGCAGCCCCCGGGTCGGGAATTACCGCGGTGGTGGGAGGCCTCGGGCGGTGTGCCGCGTACCCGCCTCAGGGGGCCCAGCCCGTGGCTTTCTCTTTCGGTCACACACCATCAAAGAACAATGAATATTTTCATTACAATTCCACTTTCAAATGACTTTATATTTGGACGGAAGAGGCTGATAGAAAGTAAGTATTACTTACTCTGCTGCTCACCTTAAAATTCTATGGCCCAAAAGTCCAAGCCGGCTTCGCCGGCGTGCGCGTGGCTGGCGGTGCCGCCGGTGTCGGCAGGTTCCCAGGCGATGTTCGGTGCTCCAGGCACAAGCCCGCAGGGTGAGCAGCCTGGGAAGGAGAGAGAGGCATGAATGGGGGTGGGGGGGTGTCGGTTCTTTTTTTTTAAATTCAGACTAGTTAACACACCGTGCAGTCTTGGCTGCAGGAGTAGAACCCAGTGACTCATCCTTTACGTAGGACACCCGGCGCACACCCCAGCAGGCGCCTCCTTAATGCCCCTCCCCCCTCCCCCACCAACCCTCAATTTGTTCTCTGTATTAAGGAGTCTCTTATGGTCTGCCTCCCTCTCTGTTTTTCTTATTTTTCCTTCCTCTCCCTTATGTTCATCTGTTTTATGTCTTGAATTCCATGTATGAGTGAAAGCATAGATTTGTCTCTCTCTGACTATTTCACTTGGCAAAATACCCTCCAGTTCCATCCACGTTGGTGCAAATGGCCACATTTCATTCTTTGTCATTGCCAAGTAGTATTCCACTGCGCATACACACCACATCTTTATCCATTCATCGGTTCGTGGGCATTTGGGCTCTCTCCATAGCTTGGCTGTTGTTGACAGCACTGCTATAAACAGTGGATTGCGTGTGCCCCTTCGAAACAGCACACCTGCATCCCCTGGATAAATACCTATAAGTGCAATTGCTGGGTCATGGGACAGTTCTATTTTTCGTTTTTTGCAGAACCTCCACTGTTTCCCAGAGCGGCTGCATCAGTGTGCATGAGGGGGTGTGTCGCTAAGGAGAGTGCAGGCCACCGTAGAGGAGCCGTCTGAGGCCAGCGCAGCCCGGAGGTTAGCCCGACCCTGCCCGATGGGTGCCGCACCGTGTGGGCTAACGGCACTCCCAGGGTCCTCAAGGGACAGGCTCTCCTTACAGCACATTACACTGCAGACTCAAAACAGGGAAAGAAGTGAGTGGATTTAGGACCGCCCCCAGTGCCCCCGGCAAGGACTGTGGGCCCAGGTGAGGAGCTCACTTTGGGGGCTCACCTCAACACTCAGACAGGAATTGTGTGCCGCGTCCCTCCGGCACCCACAGAGTCCCGTCTGCTCTTCCTGACAGTCCGAGTTACAGGCTATTCACAGGAGAGTCTAACAGCCCAAGAGCTACTGACTTTTCTCCTCTGCGGGGCTGTGCTTGTTTGGAATGAAACCTTGTTTTCACAAGAGCTCTGTTTTAAAAATTATTTTGTTTCTCCCACTTGTGAATCTGATAATATTTATCATCGGAAAAAATGATTAGTTTTATTTATAAATGTTCTGTTGCTCCTCATCGATGGTCTTTAGAAACCGCACTTACTCTGAATCTTACTCTAAACTGGTGTTTTTTCCACTTGCCTCAGTGTCTACAAAAACACCTTAAATCTGGGACGCCTGGGGGTCTCAGGTGGTTGAGCATCCAACTTTAGCTCAGGTCATGATCTCACAGTTTGTGGGTTCAAGCCCCACATCGGCTCCCTGCTGTCAGCTTGTCAGCGCAGAGCCCGCTTCAGATCCCCTGTCCTCTGTCTGTCCCTCCCCTGCTTGCGCTCTCCTCCAACATAAATAAGTATTTTAAAAACATTAAACAGTACCTCAGATCTTGTGGGTCTCAGTGCTCTTCCCTTGACATCAGGAGCAGGGCATCACAGAGCCCCTTCAGCGTGGCCGTGGCGCAGCATCGCCGTGCGGCGGATCAGATTTTGCTTTAATTCTGGATTAAGAAATTGTCATCTGATGTGCAGTAGAAACTTGAAAGTTGATATTTTTAAAAATTTGTT